TTTGTGGTAAAGAATAAAATCCTCAACTCTCTCCTAACCAGTTTTGATCAAAAGTTTGGTTGCAAGACATCATGGGCATTAAAGATTGCCTAGAAACCAAACGGTCCAGCCATTTCTCTGGACCAATGGCACACACTTTACGTCTGGACCATTGAAGAGCTCTGTACTTGGTCTACATCATTTTGGCCCATTGCACTGTACTAATCTGGGCCCTCAGCCTGCCTTAAAAGATATGATGGGAAATCGGTCACAGAAAATTCACTAGTGTTTTATTGTGGGAATGTAGTCACTTACTATTTCCTTTGGGAAAATCTATTGGAAAAATTTCTGACAGTGTCAAGTAAAACCAGGCTTCTCCTGAGCTACTAGCTTGTGCTGTCTTGTGAGCAATGTGACTCTTTTGTCGACCAAGGTTGTTTTTCCCTTTTTCCTTTGGCTGCCAGGAAGCATGTGGGCAAGACTGAATGCTAAACTTAGTATCTGAGTAGAACTTTTCAGCATGAATTTCTGTCTACTAATTCTACCTCTGCCCTCATATCACTATCCGATTCCTTCTCCTTTCACCCTGATTTTTATCCCTAGTTTCTCAATGTGGGGAGTAAGCAGGGAAAAGGGGGAGAAGAGTAGGAAGGGGACAACTCTTTCCCCTTTTCTGACTCATGCTGCTAGGTACACGAATGTCAGAGCATCACAGAGCCAGACCTGTCTTTCTCTTCCAGGACCAGAGCCATCTCCAGGTCCCCCTCGTGCACCTTCTTCATCTCTGCAAGCTTGTTTTCCAAGCTCAGCCGAAGCGTCTTCTCCGTTTCTGTCCCAGCAAAGGCCTTTTCCAGTTCTGCTTGGGCGGCTCTCACATCCTAGAGTTAAATTAAATGCAATTTGATGCAATTTTTCAACACAATTGGGAACATTTTGAAAGGAAATTGGATTAAAATATAAATATTTATGACTTTTTCTCCGGCACGTTTCCCCTCCCTGAATTGTACTCTACATGGAGAGAATCAGTAATAAATACATTCATAGGCCTCTTTTCCCTCTTGTATCCCGAAGGGTAATAGGCATTTCCGATGGAAAAGACTCAACTCTACAAGAACTGTATTTTCAGTTTTGAAAAATCCGATCAATATTTACAGCTTCCACGACAAGGAGGAATGTGCCTCTCTGTCACTAAACAGACATGAAGCCCTGAGCATCACTATAATCTCCACACAAATTCATCTCACACTCCACCGCCCCTCACTTTTTTTTTTAAAGATAATGACCATACAATTCTACCATGCATTTCCTATATCTCCAGGGTGATTTAAATGGTGAAAAACTCTATGTTCTTCATGAGGGGGTGGAGAAGCCCACAAGGAAAGTCTCTAAATCATGCAGGGGGCGTCCGTGTCAGGAAAAAGGCCCTGGTGCTCAGGACAGTGACCTGATAGCAGATTCAGTTCTCCAAGCCCTCATCCCAACTGCCTCTGATCACATCACAAAGATGAAAGTCAAATCAAACTGGGTTCAAAACCCAGCTCCCCACTGACTTGCTGGGTGACCTTGGGGAGTCACTTAACCTCTCTGATCCCCAGTTTCACAACCTATAGAACAGGGATAACCACCGTCTCATCAAAGAGTTGCCGTGAGACTCCGCCAAAAGCCTGCTGCATCACAGGAGGCTCCAAAAACACTGGTTCCTCCTCCTCCCTGCCCTCTCCCTCCACAGTGCCGCCCCCACCACTGTCTCCCCAAGAGGGCTGGACAGCCTGTCAATCCCAGTGACAGCTAGGAAAACCATTTCTCAATATTCTGAGACAGAAAACAAAATCTATTATTTACTGAGTGCCTACTAATGCCAGGCTTTGAGCAAAGAGCTTTATTTATAAGTTCTTTGATCCTCACCCAACCCTAAAAAGTTCCCTACTGAGAGACAGGGTTCAGAATGCGGGCTCTGCGGCCAGACCACCTGGCATTTACCGCCTGGCTGACCTCGGGCGAGTGACTAGGCCACTCTGTCCCTGTGTCAGCTTGTTTTTGTTTTTGTTTTTAAAAGGGGGATGACAAAAGTCTTTACCTTGAAAGTTTACTGAAGGGATTAACTAAATCAATGTATGGGAAGGCTAGGAAAGAAGGGTGCCTCACAGACGGTAAGTAAGCCCTCCATGAGTCGTGAGCTCACTGTCCTTATCACAGCCACTACCGCAGGGCGGGCATCACTGGCTGCATTTCGCAGGTGCAGCCACACAGGCGCGGGGAAGGCAAAGGTCTTACCCAAGGTGACAGAGCTAGTAAGTGACAGGGCAGGGACTCAGCCCAGTACTGTCAGTCAGGCCGCAACCCTAAACCACTGGGAAGCACCTACTGGTGAAAATAAAACGGCTGAACCAATAGAGTAAGTCTCTGAAAAGTCTCAGGGTTACATGTTAACGGAAGTTCAGAATCTGGGCTCCGAAGACTCTCCTTTTGGTTTCAGCGCTACTACCCAGGACCAAGACTAAGTTTCTCACTCTCTCCGAGTCTGTTTCCTTGTCTGTATTCTGGACCTAAAATCTATACACCCTCATGGGGGTGATGTGAACGTGATGAATGGAAAAGACCATGACAAGCTGCAAAAGACAATACAAACGTATCTGCTGTTCTGTTAGTGGTGTCATCTCTCCTGTTACCTGCTAAGGAGAATCAGGGTTTCCGGAAGAGGAAGTGACATCAAACAACTTCAAAGATCAAGAATTAAGGAACTAGTATTACTTAACACTAGCTTAATATAGAGGGAAACTTTTTAACATCTAAGGAGATAAAATTTTTTGGCCAAGAAACATCCTGACTCCCACCACAGTCACAGGAGGCACCTGACTGAGAGTCAGGAGGAGGAGGAAAGGTACTCAG